TAATTGGAAATCTAGCAATGCCATAGGATGGTCATTATCTGGGGATGAAATTCGTATGTGTTTACGTGATTATGTGCTTATGTGGAGTGAATTACTGTTGTCCAATGTATTAGGACGCGAGTGGGTGAGCTTCAGCACATTTGTAAATGTGCTAATCTCCTTGTTACCTTTATTAGGATGTCAGAATGTGGTCGTAGAGGTAGGTGTGGTAGGCCTAGCAGGCATGAGGTGCCTATATCGGATGAGGTTTCGGCGTAGGAAGAGAGGGTTGGTCAGGCCAACGTGGCCGAGCCAGTAGGTTAGCAGGTCACGGGCACCTTAGCCCGTGAAATGGCCAGAGCACTGAGGGAATCCATGGACATTCTCAGGGCTGAGAATCAAGTCCAGGCCCAAGCAGTTGAGGCAGGGCCTTCATTTTTTAGGAGAGTTTTTTTGGTCTAATCTGGATGAATTTTTAGGTGACCCAAAGGAGCCACTGAAGTCAGATGAGTGGCTTGAGTAGATAGTGAAGACGTTCAAGATACTTGGTATCGAGGACGACCAGTTGAGGGTAACCTTGGCATCTTTCCAGTTAAAGGGGAATACAGGTCAATGGTGGGAGTATGCGCGTGGGTGCATTGGGGTGACTTGGGAGGCCTTCGTCAGCGCCTTCCAGGACAAGTTTTTGCCTCCCACTGTTAGGGAGAAGTTGAGAGACCAGTTCTCTAAGTTGGTGTAGTTGAACACACTTATGGCAGAGTTCGAAGCCACCTTTACTAGCATGTCCAGGTTCGCACCCAAGCTTGTGGCGACAGAGGAGCGCTGGTGTTTAGAATTTGAGAAGAGATTGAGGATCAGACTCATGTTTCGAGTAGTTGTGTCCATGATTAGGGACTATGGATGCCTTGTGAAGGTAGTAGCCCATCTTGAGACTATTATGCAGGTAGAAGATGAGAGGATAAGGGGCTCAAGAAGGAGTCAGAACAATCAGTGGGATGGTAAAAGGCTGAGGGGTTCTAACCCTCAGCAATCCCAGGGAGTTTGGTCGAGGTCTACCTTTCCAGTGCCTAGCTCCAGTTCTGGGAGAGGTGGTCAGGAAGATGTGACTTGTTTCAAATGTGGTTAGTTGGGTCACAAGTCTCTAGCTTGCCCACAGAGAGAAGGAGGGTAGCGACCAGCTTCGTCTTCGGCTCATTCTCAGAACCAAAGTTAGGGTAGAGGACAGTCGCCCACTTGTTTTCAGTGTGGCCAGGCGGGGCACATGAAGAGATCTTGCCCATAGTTGGGTGGCACGTCTGGTGCGTCTAGTTCGAGACAGACACTGAGTCACAAACCGAGACCGTCAGCACAGGCCTCGAGGGCCAACTAGGGAGCTTTTTCGGCTCAGTCAATACAGTAGGCCTATGCTCTAAGGGGCAAGCAGGTAGATCAGAGGCCAACAGGGCGTGTGTATGCTGTTACCGAGCGAGATCTTGTACTGGCTCCATCTGTTGTGAGAGGTACCTTCTTGTTTTGTAATTCTGTTGCTAGTGTATTGATTGATACGGGTGCATCCCATTCTTTTATCTCGTCTGCATTTGCATCGGTTTTGGGGTTGGAGTTGGCACAGTTAGCATCTCCTATTTGTGTAGAGTCCCCTGTTGGTGGTGAAGTTATCTTGAGACAGGGGTGTCGGGGTTGTGACATAAAGGTCGCCAGTTGTCGTCTTCCCTTTCCATTTGTTTTGATTGATATGACTAGCTTTGATGTTATTGTGGGTATGGACTGGTTATCGTCATACCGGGCTATTATAAATTATGATGACCGGTTCGAAAACCGTCTTGTTTCCTTTGAGTTGTGTCGGGTGAGTTATTGTTGAAAATTCTTTCTTAAAATATTTTCTGTTGTAGTTGTCTCAATTCTGAGTTTTCACTCGTTTCGGAGGGTGTGGGGTCGGCTCTGGGGTTTCGGGAGAGAGGCCAAAGTTTTTTAGGGTTAGAGGGCTAGGGCCGCACGTGTGAGAGAGGAGGGGCTGCACGTACGGGAGGTCAGGCCGTACGTGCGGGAAACAGGGGAGTGTGCTATGTGCACACTGCCTAAAAGGCTGGTATGGGAATAGAGGTGCGGGAGAGACCGCACGTGCGGGGGTGAGAGCCGTATGTATAGGGAGGCCGCTCCGCACGTGCGGGAAAGGGTGTCACACGTGCGGCCAGGCGCGTTTTCTGTCTCGATTTTTGTGCTTTACAGCTATGTGTTGCTCTTTTGCTCATTTTCCTCTCATTTCAGATTATATCATTCTCTCTCTACAATGTTTCTCTGTTTTTCTCTCATCTCTTTCTACCCAAACTCTTCAAAGTTTTGCATTTTCTTTTGATCCCAAGAATCCATTGGGATTTTAGTACTAGTTCCTTATACCAAAATGATGTGCATGTCGAGGGCTTGATCTTGACCGGTGGAGATCGTATTTCGACGAAGTTGATTTTTGGGGCTCTTTCTCCTCTTCTCTCTTGAGGTAGGGATTTCTTTGGTTTTTTTCAGTACTTCACCTATAGATAGACATGTGGTAAGTTTGTATTGCATAAAACCATGTGGTTATGGAATTTTTGAAAAAAAATCATGATTGAGGATCTAAGATTTGGGTGTTGAGATTGAAATTTTGTGAGATTGGTTGACGTTGGGTTAATTTGGGGTGTGATTTAACATGTTCATGATTAGAGAGTAATAAAGCCCTATTTTTTTTGTAATTATGCCTAATAGATAAAAAGGGGTGGAAATTGAGAAATAATTATGTTATGAATTTAAGAAATATGATTAATGATTTGATAATTTATTTGAGATTAAATTGGGTCTTATGATTGAGTATTAACTTGTGTTGGATTGACTATTTTTAAATGTAACGAATGGATGAATTGTTAATGGTCAAAAATGGGATCGAACTATGAGAAGAGAATATTATTGGGTTACATTACCGTTAAAGAGAAATTGAGAACATTATAACCTTGCTAGCCATGATTGGAAATACTTTATTTAAAATGAAGGAAAAATGGAGTTGGTCATATTCTTTTTGTGAAATGAAATAAATGGATTGAGGCAAATGGTGGAGAATATTAACTGGAAGGGTAAGATAATTGATTTTTGAATGGGAGAATGAAACACCGACACTATGTGAATTTTGGAAATTTACTTGAGATTGAACCAGAAATATATTTTATTTTACAATTGTGTAATTGGATCTAAAGTTTCATGAGAAGTGATTAATGGTTTTATGTGTTTAATACATACTGCTAGAGGTTTTGTCCTTGGTCATCGGTGGAGGATGACATTGTGAATGGTGAAATGATTATGTGTTTGATTATGTGTTATCCATGAATGTGGTTTGAAGTGATGGTTGGAAAATGTGTAATGCGCTGAGAATCAGAAGTACCATTACCTTCCAGCTAGCGCTTGGAGAATTGGCAGAGGTACCATTCCCTTCCAGCTAGTGATTGGTAAATTGGCATTTCACTGTGGGGAGATGTGTCATTGGCATACCATGCTTCAGGCTGGTAGAGCAGAGATTACTTATCATTGTTGTTTTCGTTTGACTGTGTGTGTCATGTGTTATGATGAGTATGATTTTGTAAGGTTAATTTGTTTCATATGTTGAGTAGATGTGTTCTTGTATTTTTGGACGTGTTAGAGAGTGGTTGAGGGAGTTTCCTACCATGAATTATTTTGTTGAAGGTGTCTCCTTGAATTTCGAGTGTAAGATAGAAAATGTGATGAACGGTGGAGACGAACTTTGTTGTGTATTGGGTATAAATAATGTGGAGAAATCGGAGTTGGTTTCAAAGAAATAAAATGGGTATTATGTTGTATTTTGTCACAAATGAAAAATATGGTCATCGTGCAATAATTGTTTAAATGGGAAATGGGTAGTAAAAGCGAACCTTGATGTTGTTGAATAAACTGAATGTTTTTGGGAAAAGTATTTATGTAAGCATACTTTGGTTATAAAATGTCACATTATTTATATGGTATAAGACTAGCATTCATGGTCATAGCTATCTGTAAGTTGTTATTGTTGAGGATCATGTTGAGATCCCTACTGGACTTTATGTTCACCCCACATTGCTAATCCTTTTTCAGGTGAATATCGAGATGTGCTACAATGTCACGGATCTTCCTTATTTGTTGGCCACGGGGCCTTTTAAGTGTAGGCGGAATGCCATTGATGTAAAAGGGTTAAACCCTTTCTCTTGATTTAAATGATGTAAGCCTATGGGCAATTTATTTAGATGTAAATTCGTGTCGCATTCATTTTATATTCGAATGAGAGAATTCTTACTTATGTATTCCTTGTATATATAAATAGCTTCTATATGCTATCTCTGAAATTGAACTTATAATAATGGCTTTGGTAATGGAAATTCGCGTAATAAAAAGTGGGGCGTGACATAGATTGCTACTGTCAAAGGGTTACTGTATATACCTTGAGCGGGGATTGCTTTTATTTCTTGGGAGACCGGGTGGATAGAGTCTTATCATTGGTGTATGATCCGCATGGGCAGAGAGAACTTAGTTGTCTTCTTGCTAGCTTTCAGAATAATGAGTGTGATGAAGTCCGGGTTGAGTTGCCAAGGGTGGTTTGCGAATACTCTGATGTCTTTCTCGAGGAGTTTATTGGCTTACCACCTCGCCGAGAGATAGAGTTCTCTATTGACTTAGTGCCTGATATGGCACCGATTTCTATGGCACCGTATCGGTTTGCACCTGCTAAGTTGAGTGAGTTGAAGGTTCAACTCCAGGATTTATTAGATAAGGGTTTTATCCGTCCTAGTACTTTGCCTTGTGGAGCACTGGCTCTCTTTGCTAAAAAGAAAGATGAAGCCTTGCGACTTTGTATCAATTACAGAAAGTTGAACCGGGTTACTGTTAAGAATAAGTACCCAATGTCTCGTATAGATAACATGTTTGATCAGTTTAAGGGGTCTTGTTGCTTTGCTAAGATAGACTTGAGATCAAGTTACCATCAGTTGAGGGTACGGGAGGAAGATATCCCGATGACAACATTCTGTATGCGGTATGGCCATTATGAGTTTCTAGTGATGCCTTCTGGGATAACCAACGCTCCAGCTGTATTTATGGACTTAATGAACCGAATCTTCCGTGAGTTCCTAGATCGATTTATGATCGTCTTTGTGGACGACATTATGATTTACTCACCCTTTGAGGGAGAGCATGAAGAACACTTGCGGGTGGTACTTGAGTTGCTTAGAGCCCATAAGTTGTATGCTAAGTTCGGGAAATGTGAGTTTTGGCTAAGGGAAGTTAAGTTCTAAGGCCATGTGGTGTCCGGGGAAGGGGTGATTGTAGATTCATCCAAGATAGAGGCAGTGCATGATTGGGCACAACCTAAGAATGCCTTTGAGATCCGTAGTTTCTTGGGGTTAGCCGAGTATTATCAGAGATTTGTGAAAGATTTCTCTAGACAAGCCTCACCTTTGACTAGACTGACGAGAAATGGAGTTAAGTTTGTATGGAACGAAACTTGTGAGAAGTCATTCCAAGAGCTTAAAGTTAGACTTACCACCGCTCCTGTTTTGATTATTCCAGAGAGGGGTTTGGGTTATTTAGTGTATTGTGATGCCTCACAATAAGGTTTGGGTTGTGTTTTGATGCAAAAAAGGAAAGTAATGGCCTATGGCTCACGTGAATTGAAAACACACGAGAGGAACTATCCCACTCATGACCTAGAGTTAGCAACAGTGATATTTGCCTTGAAGATTTGGAGGCATTATCTGTATGGTGAAAAATTTGAAGTGTTCTCCGATCATAAGAGTCTGAAGTACTTGTTTACCCAGAAAGACTTGAATTTAAGGTAGATCAGGTGGATGGAGTTCATAGAGGACTATGACTTCGAGTTGCATTATCATCCGAGGAAGGCCAATGTTGTGGCCGATACTTTGAGTAGGGAGTCCATCAGTAGTGTGGCCTGTATTGCCATTCGAGAGTGGGAAATGTTAGGTACTCTTAGAGAGTTTGACTTGCATCTTGGCGAGTCCGTTGAATCTTCGGCCATGTTTTCCATGGTTTCACAACCTACACTTGTGAACCGAGTGTTAGAAGCATAGAGGAGTGATCTTGAGATAGAGACCCTTAGGGAGAAGACCTCCAGTAGGAAAGTAGAACATGGCTTGAATGTGTATCCTGACTCGAGTGTTAGATACCGAGACCGTTTGTTTGTACCGGAGTCTTATCGAGAGGAAGTACTCCGAGAGTTTCACCATTCACGCCTTGTGGTGCATCCGAGAGGCACAAAGATGTATCACGACCTGAGTCGCCAGTTTTGGTGGAGACGTATGAAGAAGGATGTAGTCGTGTTCGTATCGAAGTGCCTTACTTGTCAGCAAGTGAAGGCCGAGCATTAGAGGCCAGGGGGTTTGTTGCAACCTTTGCCTATAGCTGAGTGGAAATGGGAGCATATTACAATGGATTTTGTTGTGGGTCTTCCGAGGATTCAACGGGGCAAAGATGCCATTTGGGTGGTAGTTAACCAATTGACCAAGTCCACGCACTTTATACCTATGCGCGTGAGTGATTCGGTAGGCCATCTTGCCGACTTATATATTAGGGACATAGTGAGATTGCACGGGGTCTCTGTAAAGATAGTTTCGGATAGAGATCCACGTTTCACAACCCTATTCTGGCAGAGTTTGCAAAGTGCCTTGGACACCAGACTGACCTTTAGTACCGCATATCATCCTCAGACTGACGAGCAATCCGAGCGTACTATTCAGATCCTTGTGGACATGATTTGTGGATGTGTCCTTGATTTTAAGGGGTCGTGGGAGAGGCACCTGCCCTTAGTGGAGTTTGCCTACAATAACAGTTTCCAATCGAGTATTAGCATGGGCCCATTTGAGGCCTTGTACGGCCGACTGTGTAGATCTTCGGTGTGCTGGGTTGAAGTGGGTGATGCACCTTTGTTGGGTCCGGAGTTAGTTCGGGAAACAAAGGACAAGGTAGTGCTTATTCGTAAAAGGTTGGTTATAGCCCAGAGTCACCAAAAGAGCTACGCAGACCGTAGGAGGAGACCCTTGTCTTTTGAGGTGAAAGATCATGTGTTCTTCAAAATATCACCTAGGCGGGGTTTGATGAGATTTGAGAAGAGCGGGAAGTTGTCCCCTCAGTTTATTTGCCCTTTTGAGATCCTTGAACGGATATGAGAGGTTGCTTATCGGTTGGTGTTGCCGCCACAACTATCCGGAGTACATGACATGTTTCATATTAGAATGCTTCGGAAGTACGAGCCGGATTCGTCGCACGTGTTGGATTGGACCGACCTAGAGGTAGATGAGGATGCCTCGTATGAAGAGAGACCAGTGAGAGTCTTGGATAGACGGGATCAAGTTTTGAGAGGCAAGACGATTCCCCTAGTTAAGGTTTTGTGAAAACATCACGGAGTTGATGAAGCAACATGGGAACGTGAACTGGAAGTCCGTGGAAAATATCAACACTTATTTGTTGATGTTTGATTTGTATTGAAATTTCAATTATGATGATGAAAAGTATGAACATTGTATGTATTTTAAGTTATGAGGACATTGTATATGTTATGAGCATTTTGGAAACATTGATTCCATATACAAACATTGCATATGTTATGAGAATGTGAAATATTGAGTGTTGCATCACTTTTGGAAGCATTGTATATGCTAGATAAATTTCGAAAATGTGGAATTGGTTTAACATTGTAAATGTTTTGGGAAATTGTAAATTTCATTTTAATTTGGAACTTGTGTATCAAGTCAATCAAAATAGATGGCCGGAGGGTAGGTCATGGTATTGGAATTGTGAGAATAACATTGTTATGGATGGTCTAAAGTAAATTTTGAACTTGAACTTAATTTGTAATTTCTGGGATGAAATTCTTTAAGGGGAGAGGTTATAGCGATTCCGGGTTTTGACTTGTTACCTATTGTATTCCGGACTCAGGTTTAATGTTTTCATATTGTTGTTCCCCTCTTATTCTCCTTGTATCCCTTTGGAATTGGTTTCTGGGTTGTGGTTATGCGTTTGGAACAGGTTGGTTGTGTTTCTTTTTCAAACCTGTGTTGCCCATATTTTGGCCTCTCCGCTCGAGCGGGCTTCACGATTTTGCTCCTCCACTCGAGCGGCCATTCTTGTGCTCAAGCGGGATTCATCAACTCTCAGTATTTCTGTTTGTATGTCTGAAATACTAAAAGTATACATCGGACGCACGAGCATCCACTTTCAAGCTCGAGCGAGGACCTTCGTCTGTAAAACTTCTGGAATCGTGCATTCTACACTCGAGCGCCAGTTTTCACGCTCGAGCGCCAGTTTTCACGCTCGAGCGGAACCTTGTGTCTTACGCTCGAGCGAGGCTTTCTACGCTCGAGCAGACTGCGTGTATTTCAGTCCGAAAAAATGACATTTTGAATCACTTTTTCTTCTCTCTCTCTCTCTCTAAAACTTTCCAAAAAGCTTGTTCTTGAGCTTCTCTCTCTACATTTCACCTTCTCTCTAGAATTTCATCTAAATCCATTGGGATTTCCACCCTAGTGCCTTTGAGAAAAAAGTAGAGCTCTTCAAGATCTTCGTTTTGATCCGATTGAAAGTGGGTTTCGTCGTTCTTGGAGTTTCCCTCTTGTTGGACTCATCTTCATCCTTTGAGGTAGGGATCTTTTCTACACCTTCATATGTTATTTAGCTTAGTTATTGTCTCTTGTGTGACAATGGTGTGACTTGGGGATGTTTTAAACAAACCTAGGGTTTGGGCATAAAAATGGAAAGATGGGTTTTGGGTGAAGATTAAATGAAGGCTTGTGGGGTTTGAAAATGATATTGTGTTATGTCAAATTTGATGATTTTAGCACTTGGCTAATATTTGGGAAAAAAAAAATGGGGAATTTACCCTAATTTGATCAAATTATTATTTTGTACGAATAGTTGGAATTGACATTGAAAATGTGAAATTGAGAGGGTATTGATATGAATGATGGGACCGGTTATGTAATAACTCAGTCTATTAGAAATTTTGAATAAACTATCTATCTGAGATTGAATATCTGTCTAGAGATAATTGTATTGGGCAATCGGTGGAGGATAACTTTGATTGTTGTAGAAATTACATGCGGATTAGGTGAAATGAAACTAATCTTTTGATAGTTGATATTGAATATGACCATGCTTATAGGCATTGTATATGTATGTTTGTTTGGAAGTGGAAATAGGATGTGCTTTATGTTTGATTATCTGTTTAAATACATTGTATACGTATGGATATTTGTTTGGGAGGAGAAAAGGGATGGACTCCATTATAATTAAGTTGGCTGGAGTGTCCTGGGTGAAAGTCCTGAAATTATACATGGGTGCCTGGCCCGTAGACGAAATATTTGTAAAATGGTAATTGTAGTGCTTGTACAGCCTACGTTTACATGGGTCTCGTTTGACAGCCGCCTGCAGATGAAATTTCCGTGAAATAGAAGTTTGAAGTGTTTATGCATATGTGTTGTATGATTTGAAAATTATTGAGTTGTAGCCTCAATTTGGTTTTTGTGAAATAATGAAATTGACTCATGAATTGAGAAGGATAAGAAATCGAAATGGAAATTGAAAGGAAATAGAGGAAGACTTGAAAGTGATATCTCATGAGTATGTAAAGTTGTGAAACGTTTCATCACATGCATTGTTTATGCACTTGTACTTATACCTTTGCTAAATTTCATATACTGTATTAGATGATTTCTACTAGGCTGTGCTCACCCTATTATGAATAACATTTTTAGGTAATGATGGCATGCCTCCTCCAAGGCAATAGCATGGGAGGGATCTTTGGGAAGCAAGAGCTTCATGTTTTGTTTTCATTTCTGTATAGCCTAGGGCTAAATTTGTAATGAGCGAAGCTCATTTTGTTGTAACCAAGTTAGGACTTGGAAAGATGTAAGCCAATAGGGTATTTATTTCTGTCAAACTCTTTTGTAGTAGTAGCTTTATGTAATGAAAAGACGATATACTCTGATTTATATTATCTTTTATGTATGTTTATGGATGTATTTATGTTATTATTTTGGGGGCATTACACATTGCTTACAATTTGATGAATGTGTGATTTTTGCTTGGCACTAAACTTAGTGAGAGAACTCTCTTTTGAATCATGCTTAAACTCAATGGAAAAAAGATAAAATAATTTAGAAGACTAGAAAAACTATAATAAAAAGGAAGAGAATAAAAATGAGTGATTAAACAAGCTTAAACCTGAATAAGAGATAATATGCTTAATTATAGAGTAGAGAGAAGCTAATAGATTGTTTTATTTTTCATTTTATGTTCGGCATAAGTTGTAACTAATCAGTTGTAGAAGCGATATTGAATTAGCTTAATTATCTTTATTATACCAATTAAAATTTATTGAATCATGATATTTGTGGATATTTTTTTTACCTTGTACCTCTTATAATATAGATATTATGTGATTTTTTTTTATTAACAGAATTTTATGTGAGATGAAAGGTGTTTACTTTTTATTAGATTTATTTTTGGAAATAACGAGCTATCATTGCATGTATTTATATCCTTTTTAAAAGGTGTAGATTTTTGTTTTAGGACAAATTGTGGATTTCCCCCCCCCTTTTTATAAGTGTTGACGCAAGCTTTTGAATTACATTAAATATTTCTAAATTTTAATTTTTAATGTCTAAGGATAGCCAATAGGTGTCTTAAAATTCTATAAAAATCAAAAAATTAAAAAATTGAGTATAATATTTTCAAGCATTTAGAGTCTCTTAGATGAAAAATCACTTTAATTGATTAGTATGAAATTACTGAAATCACTCAAATGGCTTCATGAGGAGCACTCCCTTGTGCTTAATGGCAAATGGCTTCTTTAAGCCATATGAACAAATCCATATGAGGAGATTGTCCTTGTTAGTTTAGTACACCAAGTTCTCATTTGTAGTGGTTTGTTGACAACAATTGGATGGTGTTTGTGGTGGTTTTTGGAGGCATTCACGATCTTGGGGTAATGGATTTCTTGGGCTTGATATTTGTTATGGTGATGGTGGTCAATAGTTGTTAGTTAGGGGTGTTCAAAAAAAAAAAAATGGTAGAATCGATAAATCAATTCAATCTGGTCTAAATCATTAGTTTAGTTAAGTTGGTTCTGGTTTTGAAAATGGTGGAACCATTCAAATCGGTCCGGTTCCTGCTTCCAAGGCTTTGATTATGGTTCCAAACCGAATCGGACTGTGACATATTTGCTTATTATTTTTTATATTTTTATATAAAAATTTAAAATATGAAATGTTTCTTATAAGATTTGAACACTAGCTATCATTGTGAAATTGATAAGCTTTAACCAACATAACTAAACTAATTATTATTAATTTATTTAGTAACATCAAATATATATCATATTTATTATTGCAAAAAAATTTTAGAAACATAAACCAAACCAAACAATAGAAGTGTACTAAACTAACAATAGAGGGGGCCGACAATTAAAGAGTGGTATGGTTGTGGTCTAAAGGTAAGTGGGGCATCACCTAAGTCGCTTATGGAATTTTATCATTTTACATTAAGTTGCATATGGGTGTGATGTTCTTAAATTTTCAGTCTTTTTCACATGTGAACCTATAATGAAAAGACATAACTTGTTATCTATTATAGTTAGATAATAACATGTGAAGATAACTCTAATTAATTATTTATATTATAAATAAATATTTTTTATTTTTTTATCAATTTATTATTTTATTTATTCATTTCTTTTTTATTTTTTCTTTTTATCAATTTTTGAAATCAGGTTCACGTTTCTACTGTTATTATTTGGGCTATCAGCATCTTCATCAATTTAAAGTCTGTAGCAGCCCAAGGTACAGATCCAAAACTACAAAAACCTTATTGGTTTGATACTAAACATATTTGGGAAGTAAAAAGAATAAATAGTCCTGTTATAATAATAATTATTATATTTGTTATTTTAATTTTAGTTGTAGTTTTTTTTATTATTTGGTTAAGACATGTGCATGCAGCTGGTTTAGGATTAGCACCACCAGTTATTGTACAAGGATTTGATCCACAGGTAGTGGAGTCATTTTCTGTGCTTACCTTTCCTATTGATAGAGAGGTTGGTTTTGATATTACTGATTGTCACATATGCTTGGAGAAGTTCCTCCAAGGAGACGATGTACAAGTGCTCCCTGTTTGCAGGCATATTTATCATATTGATTGTATCCAAACTTGGCTAACTAGAGATACTCAATGCCCTGACTACCGTTATGACTATGAAACATGGGAATTAGAAAGCATGCCACCTGATTTACCTTGAGTTGTGCTTCTTACTCAAGGTAAATCATGGGACATCTTTCCAATTACTATGTTGAATAGTTATAGCAATAGTCTGGTCATCGAGAGTCTCTAGAAGTTAGCTAGCCTTGGATATATTCAATGTCATAAATATGCTTGCAAATGGGAGCACTTGTACACTTTCACTATTCCTTAACTCCTCCAAACATATATGACAGTCAATAGTTACAAAACCAATCCCTCTGACGATTAGTAAGAAAGATAAACATAAGAAATGACTTCATTATTCTTGTGCAATAATTGAGTAAAATGCCACACACAACAACTATTGCTATGATAGGGCCAACTACATGTACCTTAGTAAGGTTATAGATGTAATTTCACGGTACCTGTACATTTTTATTAGTCAATGATTAAAAATAAAATAATTCTTGTGTTGTTTGTTTACAATTGATGGTGTTTTTATTATTTGCTTCATCAAAATAAAAATATACAGTGTATTCAATCCTTGCTTTAGAAATGTGCAATCAAAAATAAGAAACAAGCCTAGAACTTTCCTTTTCAAAAATCCAAAGGTGGGCCCAATTCTAGAACAAAATTGTGATGCATTAAAAAATTACCTTCCCATCTATTAGTGCAAAATGCATCAGTGATGTCATCACTACCCGATTTTCGCCATCATCATGGAAGATCAGAGATAGACTAGTACCCTAACAAAGATTCATTCACTTGTTTCCTGCACCAGTAAATAAAATTTTAAAATTAAAATAAAAACAATGTAACGATCGCATAACAATAAATACAAGCATTATAGTCACGATTATTACAATAGATAGAAACAAAGATAGGATTTGTAGATAAGGCAGTATCAAAAAGGAGAATCAAATAACTTATACTTGCAAGTGAAATACACCTAAACATGTAAGGATCCATAAAACATAATACCTATAGATTGATGGTTCAATTGAATAGAAGAAGCAAATATAAATGATAACCTAACCTCTCTGTAAGGTGGAATTTTTTGTTCAAAATAATGGCTGCTATGCTGTTTCCAATTAGGTTTATTTCTTGGGTTCTTCAATTTGTCCACAGCTAGTGATTCCATTGTGTTGAATGGAGAATTTCAAGGTTATTTCAAGGGAGAAAAAGGTTTAAGGCAAGGGGATCCAATTTCCCCTTACCTTTTTCTTTTAGTTATGTGCTCTTTTTAAGTATAATTTGACTCACAGTCAGTTTACTTTCCAGCCTAAGTGCCAAGCTTTGGGTATCAGTCACTTAGCCTTTGTGGATGATCTTTTTGTTCTGTGTGGGGCTGATATCCAGTCATTCAGAATTATAAATGACACTTTACATCAGTTCCATTTATGGTCTAGACTTCAACCTAATCTACAGAAGAGTGATGTCTTCTTTGCTGGGATTTCTTCTGTTTTAAAAGTTAATTTATTGACTCTTCTTCCAATTCCTGAGGGTCTATTACTTGTCAAGCACTTGGGTGTGCCTTTTATTTCCACAAGATTGAGGTATGATGATTGTCTTTAACTAAAGGACAGAATACGCTGTAGGATTTAGTTGGGGGCAAATAAGCTCCTGTCATATAGGGGAAACATGCAACTTATTCAAATAGTATTGTTTAGTGTACATATCTATTGGAGTTCCCTTTTCATTTTACCTCAAAGAATTCTAAAGGAGGTGGAAAGTTTGATTAGAGCCTTTTTATGGTCTGGTTCTGAGCTTAAGCAAACAGGGGCCGAAGTTAAGTGAGAGAGTATTTGTGTTCCTAAACAAGGAGGGTTAGGTTTTAGATCATTGAAAATTTGGAATAAAGTCAATATGATTAAACACCTTTGGGTTATAAGTATGAAGGCTGATTCACTTTGGGTTGAATAGATACATACCTATATTTTAAAGGATCAATGCTTTTGGTTTATTGATGTCCGAATGCTTCCTCATGGACTATAAGGAAGATATTCAAGCTTAGAGAGATTGGTCAGGCTCTTATTCATTACAAAATAGGGGATGTTAGATCCACCTTCTTATGGCTTGATAACTAGCATCCAGTGAGGCCTTTTTATCAACATTTTGGAAGTAGAATTGTGCAGAATATTGGTAGAGCTCTTTATGTGAATGTTTCAAGTGTTATAGTTGTTGATGTTGGCATTGGCCTAGATTAAGAAATAGAGTAATTCAGCAAGTTATTGCTTTAACCCCTCATACCCTTATTCCTAATCTGCACAGATTTAATGAAGCTGTTTGGTTACCTTCAAAGAGTGGTAGTGTTGCCTGGCTTTTTCGCGGCCCCATTTTCAGAAGCTTGAAAAGAAGCCCTACAGTTCAGACTCTCGCGATTTTGAATCTAATCTTACAAGTGCAATGTGAAACTGATAATCACTAAAGAGTCCAAATCCGACAAATCGTTTTGGAAAATTGATTTTGAATCAAAAAGTGCCAAAATTGGACTACTTTGCCAGATACAGAGTCGCCACCTAAATATTTTATTGTTGGGAAAATTTAGGAAACCCATGACTCATGCCAAAGGCCATGTGTCTATCATCACCAAAGTTGTCTCGGCTTGGGAACCTAGGTATGAGAGGGGAAGGTCATGAATTGAGCACCCCCGCTCGCCCAATTAAAGATCGGCCTCTACTAATCATGATATGATTTTTTTATAAACATTATGTGCTCTTATTGATTATTAAGCTAGCCTTACTATTTGATGCGCACAAGCAAGTATAGACTAGTTTGCTCAATTTGGAACAATTCAACTCATGTTTGTTTGTGAAAAATGGTTTGAAGTTGCCACCTTAAGTGGGCTTAAAAATTATGGATTTTCCAACAAACATAGTGGGCTTAAAACATGATTTGTCACTCAACAAAGTGGGCTTAAAACACACATTTGTTGAATCGTTCCAATTCAAACAACAAGCCTTCATTCACAGGCATTCAAACAATTTAGTATTTAAGCACATAGCCTCATGGCAAGCATGCTTGACATTGCAACATTCACATTCATGCAAGTATGCTAAAGCATAAAAACTCACCTAGTACTCCAAGCTAAGAAGATATGAGTTAGAAAAATAAGCATGGTTCTAAACTATATTAAGTGTCTAATGCAACACACGCAATATGCAATTAATAGGCTCGGCTACTAGTATGGCATATGGATCGATTTGATAACATGCGGTTAAACACGTATTCAAATAAATATTAAAATAACAATGCAGTTTGAATGACGCGCCGAGCCTCGGTGCATGCAATACAAATGAATGGATGCAAGCATAAGGTATGCTAATTGAAACATGTCCCTAATCTAACCATCGAAAGTGGATAAATAAAAGGGAGAAAGACGTGGGGTTGGAAAACATACATACACGCACACACACTTATTAGAACATTATGCCTTTGCGAAAGAGGGTCCGAATAAAACTAGCTAAGCTACACTACTTAACTAACTATTACAACACTTTGAATAAATAAAAAAAAGCTTACTCTAAGCTAATTAATTATTACAACACCCTTAACTGATCAATCTATTAAACTAAGCTATTTAATTAATTAATTACACGACATGAACTAATTAACTATCTAAACTAAATAGTTACAACATTTGCATGATTTAGCTACAACTAATGAACTAAGCAAATTAACCAAATGGCCTCGGGAAACGAGGGATGCATGCATGCTCGGTTTTTTACCCGAAAGGCCATTGTTTTGCTACTGCAAGCCTCTGTTTGCACATTTGAACACCAACAATTCTGCCCACTTCCAGAACACCTCTACTCCACCTTACCAACACACTGTGCAAATTTCACTGATGGCCGACAAGGGGCCGGTCGACTACTGGTGGTGGCTGTCGGCCACTGATAACCTGGACTTCCTTGTTGCAACAGAGAGCAAGTAGAGCAAAACAATGTATTTCTCAAGGATAGTTTGCACAGTTTGCCTCTCTTTTTCATGGGGAAATCAAAGGAGGGACAAAATTTGGTTCATAAACCATCAATCAAGAAATTTCATTGCATGATAGCTTGTGAAACCAATCGTGCAATTTTAATAAATGCAAAATGAGACCAAAATGACCATCACCATATTATGCATGATCAAGGGCAATGGAGACCTAGGAAAGTGGCACATTTCATCATTTTGAGTATGAAATGTCCCATTTTCCTTGTGTTCAAATTAACGTCTGATTTGAACACATGCAATGCAATACAAAATAATGCTTATCTTGCCTCTTTTACTTGCCAATTTTGTTTACACATTTTAGTTACCAAATCATTCTTTAATCGATTTGTCCATTGATGAGTGTCTTCTAAGATGAAAAAAGTGTCAACCAAGGGATAGTTTAAGGCATGAGAGAAGCTTCATGCAGTTGGTAATGAACCCTCAAAGGAGGATTAAACCATTAAGCATGAGCCTCAATCTCAAGTTTAAACAACCCTAAGGTTGAAACAACCCTCAAAGAAAATGAAAAAGTGAAAAAATGAGGGAGATTGCAGAGATTATAAGTGCTGAAATTAAGTGCGAAAAAACACTAAAACATACAATCAACTCAAACCAATGGTGGTTAAAGCCTAAAAACACCAAGCTAGTGAAAGGACTTACACTACAACTATGTAATACAAGACTCAAATGACTTAACCAGCCAAAAATAGAGTTAAAACAGACTATTTCAGAGGCTAAAACATGCTAGACTTGGGCCACAAAAAGCTAAAACATTAAGCTAATACATGGGGCTAACTAGGCATGCAAACATGACACAAGGAGGGGAGGCTAACCCCTCCAATTTTGGACTTCAAAATGAGTTTTTTTACTACTAAAAAGCCTCTGAAATTCAATGGTTAAAAGGCCCAAAAAAGTTGGTTTGAAAGTGGTAGACAAAGATACAGAAGCTTTATAAACAAAGAAGCAAGAAGGGTGAACCACCCCTTTATTGAAAATGACCTCAAACCAACACTTTTAGGCCACAAAAATAGAGTTTTTGACAGTTCAAAACCAGCCCCAAAACAATTTAAAAAGATGGCAAAG